GTGTCCCCTTTCCGACTTCCTGCAGACCTGCGATACAGCATGGCACACCCAGCCCAGGCCCAGACAGGACCAGTTCTGGGACCGGCCCGGCTCTGCTCTGGCTCTCACCCGGTCTTCTGGGGTTGCGGGCTCAGGTTCCTGCCTCTGCTCTTCACCCAGTTGGCTGGAGCCTTCCCGTGCTATTCCGTGCTCTCTCTCCCGGTCCTGAGCTGCCCGCAGTCGGGTTTGCACTGCGGCCAGTTTGTGGCGCAGCTCCGAATTGACCAGCAGGAGGCGCTGCAGCTGCTCCTGTAACTGGGGGAGAGGCGAGAGGTGAGCTGATGGGCGGGGCTCCGAGAGGAGCCGCAGCCACGCCCCGCGCCCACAGGCCGTCACCCACCGCTTCTGTCTCCTGGCTGCGGCGCAGCAGGTCTCGGCTGTGTGCCCGGAGCTCGTCCCGCTGTCTGTCTGTCACCTCCTTGAGCTGCCGCAGCAGCATGCGCTCCTCTGAAGAAGGGGCGTTCTCAGCAGCGGTCTCGGGGTGCAGAGGCACCCAGCCCGCAGCGGTCCTGGTGAGACCAGCACTCACCGTGCGGCCCCGAGCTCAGCTCACGGCGGAGGTGCTCGTTCTCCTGGCGCAGCCGTCGCAGCTCCTGTTCGGCCTGCTGCGCGGACACCTGCAGCTAGGGGGACAGGGGAGTTGAGGTTAGAGCCTGGTGGCCACGCGCTGGGGCAAGCGGAGGACTGGTGACTCACCGAGTCCGGCGTGGGCCCCACGGCGGCCTTTTCCAAGAGCTCTAGCGCGCGCACTACCAGCGGCACCAGCCCAGCCGCGGCGTCTGGCCCAAAACGGTGCGCCAGCTCTTGCAGCTCAGTGCCCAGAGCCCCCGCTAGATGGTACACAAGTTCCGCGGCTGACCCCGCGGCCGCTGGAGGGCTCCAGCTGGGTGACCCAGGCGCTACCCTCCTGGGCTCCATTTTTCCTTTCCTAAAGCCAAGAGCCACCCCCACCCTCGGCTGGGGCAGGAAAACGCCACCAAACAGTTCCGGCCCCAGGAAGTTTAGGGCCCTTAAGGGGCGGGGTAGAAGCAACAGGGAGGAGCAACAGGGAAAAGGCCCTGGGACGGGAGAGTGCCCTGGATCCCTTGAGCCCTGTTCTTGTCCACTAACAAGGTCACTGGGAATAGGACAGCCAACTTAGGCAGGCATCCAAGATGAGGCCCAGAGTTCTAAGTGGTCACTTTAGGCAAGCCTTTCCCAGAGCACCTGATCCAGGCTCCACCCGTTTGTCTAGAGGCAGCCAAGCACTCCAAAGAGGTGGGAGATTGAAGGTCAGTGAACAGCCTGGATGGGACAGCCTTCTGCAACCACTGATGTGCTTTTTACCAGCACCAGGAACGACACAGAATGCTTAAAAATGGACTAGGCTGGGCACTACAGCTACAAAGCAGCAGCCACTGAACTCCTAGATGTTGAAAATGGGTGGTTTCAGCCAGGCATGGTGGCACAAGCTTTTAGTTCCAGCAAAGAATGAGGAAGGCAGAGGTAGGAGGATCTCTGAGTTCCAAGCCAGTTAGGGCTACATAGTGAGACCCTATCTCAAACTATGGTCCAGGGAATATGAAAGACAAAACTCCACCTCAGCTCCCTAAGTCTAAGGTATATGGAGCCTCACCCCACCCCACTCCAACTACCCCAAGCCAGCCCCCACACTCCCACTTCATTTATACCCAGAATTTGAGCTCATAAGAGCAAGAAAACAAAAAAGCTCCTATTTATACAAAATTTATTACATTTCGTCCAGGATTACAAGCTATCAACAAACAACACAAGCACAGAGAAAAGGGGCCAAGCTGCTGAATGTCACCAGCTTGTCTGTGGGGAGGGTGTAAGAGGCTCCAGCCTTTTGGAAGTCTGAAGCAAGAAGAAGTGAGGAAATAACTAGGCGTAGAGGTCCTCCCGGTCTGCAGAGTAGACCTCGCCCTCCTGCAGGAGTGCAAAGTTGAGGAAGTGGGAGGGCCTGTGGACCTCATGGTAGAACTCTTTGGGGTTTGCCAGTTGCAGCTCATACTTCATGTTGGGATCATGCCGGACACCTTAAGGGAAAGGGAAACATCAAATGTTAAGCATCTGCCTGCCTTACCAGCCTGTGCCTCCTGGGCCATTTCTAAGGCAGTCAGGCCCCAAATGCCAGTGCTGGCCTCACCTTATTTCCGTCCCAACCCATCCCCCCTTCCTGTGTTCCCCTCATACACAGCACACTTACCCATAAAGTTGTAGTTCCATGAGGACTGGGCAGGGACCATAAAGAAGCCGAGGAAGCGGTCTGACAAAAGCATCTGGACTCTCTCATAGTGTGAGGGTAGGTAGCCTTTAGGGTTGTTGCCTTTGTCTGTGTTCTGGCGGCCCCACTCATAGCCACTGGGGGTCAGCTTGTAGGCTGTCAGTGTGCAGGAGCCTGGTGTGAAGCTGGGGAAGGGATAAAAGACAAGCTAAGAGTTTAGGCCACCAATCCGGGCCTGACCTGCAATACCTGCCCCACAATATTTCCTCCCAAAAGGGCCAAAACCCACCTGCAGGTGATGATAATTGTCTTCTCACCATCCCAAGATGGGTTGTCAGCCATGATCTTAGCATGGGTGGTGACGTCTTGGGGTGATAGTTGGGGGGACTCATTGGGCTGAGTGTGGATCCAACCTAAGGGTTCCATCTCCTATAGGCAAAGAAAAATAAAGAACTGTTTAACCCATCTGCATATAAACCTCACCCATTAGAGTAACATGCCAGGAAGTTTAATTCCCAGGCTCCATCACTCACCTTGAGGTACTCATGCTGGGGCAGCTGGCTGGGCAGGTGCACAGTTTGGTGAGTGCCCCACTGTGGCACCATCACGATGCAGCGGATTTCTTTCACCTGGGGGTTATCTGGAGGGCTCACCCCATATAGGTACCCTGCAATCTGGAGATGAGATCAGAAACCACAACCATCACTACCTTTGTGTCACACCCCAGCCTAGTATTTTATTTTTTAAATTTTATACTGCTAGCAACAAAGAACTTTCTCCTAGAAAGTTACACAAGATATTAGTTATTTTTATTTTATTTTTTGAGTCAGGGTCTCATTATGTAGCTCTGGTTGGCCTGGAATTCACTATGTAGACCAGGCTGGCATTGAACTCAAGAGATCAGCCTGCCTCTGCCTCTGAGTGTTTGGGTTAAAGGTCTGTGCCACTACACCTAGACAAAATGTTCTTTTAATCTGATAAACGCATACCCTGCTGATAAGTTATACCACTTAGCCCCTGAATGACCTTCCTTATTTTCTGCTCATTTTTCGATAGTTTTAAGCCTTGAACTCACTGAGATCTGCCTACCTCTGGCTCCCAAGTGCTGGGATTTAAAGGTGTGTGTCACCACGCCTGGCTATTTTTATTTTTTTTTTATGTGTATGAGTGTATTGCCTGCATGCATGCAAGTGCATCTGTGTCGTGCAAGGCCCATGGAAGTCAGAAGAGGGTGTTGGATCCCCTGGAAATTTAGAGAGGGTTGTTAGCCACTATCTGGGTGCTAGGAATCGAACCCAGGTCCTCTGTAAGAACAGCCAGTGCTCCTAACCACTGAGCCGCCTCTCCAGCCCTTAATTTTTTTCATCTTTTTTTTCTTCAGTATTGCATTTAGTTGTGGGTATGCATGCACACACATTTGTGGAGGTCAGAAGACAACTTGTAGGAGTTAGTTCTTAATCCTTCTACCATGTGGGTCCTGAGGAACAAACTTAGGTTGTTAGCTTGGTGGCAAGTACCTTTAATGGTGAGCCATCTTATCAGCCTGACATTTGAATACAAGTGTATAACAGACTTTGTTTTTTGGAGACAGTCCCATATAGCCCAGGCTGGCTGAGGGCTCTATATGTAGTTGAGGCTGACTGTGAACTCCTGATCACCCCATCTCTATCTCTGAAGTGATTGCAGGCCTATGCCACCATACCCAGCTAAGATTGTTTCAGTCTGTATTCTAGACTGGTCTTTAACTCATAGCAATCTCCTTGCCTTAGCCTCCAGGTACTGGGATTATAGACACATGCCACCAATTGTGTTTTATGGTTTTCCCAACACCAAGGTCATTAGTATTTTCTTCTGAAACCCTAGAGTGCAGTATTTACTTATTTTGAGACAGGGTCTCCCTGTAGGCCTGGCTGGCTTAGAACTCGCTACGTAGACTAGGCTGGCCTCAAACTCAGAGATCCACCTGACTCTGCCTCCCCAGTGCTGGCACTAAAGGCATGTACCACCACGCCCAGCTTTACCTTCATATTTTTACTTTAGATTTTATTTTATTATATTTTATTTTTTTGTCTTTTTGAGACAGGGTCTCCTTGCAGCCCCAGCTGGCCTGGAACTCACTATGGAGACCAGGCTGGCCTCAAACTCACAGAGATCTGCCTACCTTTGCCTCCCAAGTGCTGGGACTAAAGGCATGCACCACCACACCTGGCTTTTAAAAATTATTAAAAAAAGACATGGCCTCCTGTAACCCAGATTGATCTCTAATTCATGTAGTTGATGATGATCTTGAATTTCTGCCTCCACCTACCAAGTGCTAGGATTACAGGAATGCACTACCTCACCTGTGTACTGAGCTGGCCCCCCACTCACTTGTTTTTCTTGCCATAGTCGGCCAAGATCAGATCCTTGAGTTGCACCTCCACCTTGATCCACTCCTCGTCGGTCAGGGTGGGCCAAATGTGGTGGGGTTCTGTAATAGTAGTTTTGTCTGGCTTCAGGATCACCTTTGCCCGGTCATTGTTCACATGCAAGGCACGCAGAATCAGGATGAGACGGGAGAAAGCCTGGGAAGAGAATTGGAAGAGCAGGTATGGAGACCAGGCTGGCCTCAAACTCACAGAGATCTGCCTACCTTTGCCTCCCAAGTGCTGGGACTAAAGGCATGCGCCACCATGCCTGACCTAGATTTTATTTTTATAAGTGGCGTGAAGAAAGGACCCTGCCCTTTCTTGTCTCAGTATCAAAGTATATATACTCAATCACACAGATGTGATACAGCACATGAATTGTATATACATGAATCTGTTTCACACTATATGCTATTTTCTGCCAAAAATTTTTCTACCAATAATGTTCTCTTAACCACCATAGCTTTATCTCATGGAAACCAAAACCCTTCTTACTGTTTTGGCTATCTTTTTCAAGTTATTCATCTATGAGTCTTAAACTAGCACCTCAAGTACTTGGAATTATCAAATAAGTTTCAGGCACAGAATAAATGGGCACACATTATGGACTAGCTGAGCACACTTACTCACCTGGGCACGAAGATCAGATATGCAGATGAACTTCTTAAGTACATTCTTAGGCAGAATATAAGTATAACCAGTCTCCTTGATGTCATCAGATGAAACATAGATGTGATTGGTACGTAGATGCAAGTTGGCAGCAGAGATGGCCCTAATGAATAGATAGGGAACATGAACCTCAGTCCAAGCTCCTCTAGCTATGTCAACAAGGCCTTTCCATATTCCTACCCTCTTGCCCTTCACTGTACCTGACCCTCCACTCAGTCTTTGATGAGAAGGTCTGGGTCTCGTAGTTGCTAGTGGTAGAGGTGATAATCTCATCACCATGCTTGTTAACAGTGCGAGTCTGTGTCGCAGTGAGCTGTGACTGCTCCTTGGTCTGCTTCTCAATCTCAGCTATCTGTTGCCGCTGCTGTGATGGTGCTGAGATCTCCATTCCAAGGATGATGTCTCGAATTTCTGATTGTGTCAGCGATGCCACATTCACACTGTGGGGACACTGTGAGTTAAACAAGATCCCTCTCCCTCAGTCACATGTGCCTTGATGGCAAAGGTGTAACTGGGTAGCCTGGGTGGACAGAGCAGCCCATACTTTGCCCATATAATCCTCACGTGACACTTCCCTCTCAGCTTTCCCCTCAAGCATGAAACAGAAATGTAGTGACATGTAAGGTTCTTCACATCCTAGGCTACACAGTGCAATGATCTGTAATTCTT